GACGAACATATGAACATTCGTCGCGCAAAATCAATAAAAAAATTTCCCTCCCCTCTCCGCTCCAACACTTAGTGAAATTTTTTTGGCAAAAGCCAGATTGCGCGACGAATACATGCCCATTCGTCGCGCAAAATCAATAAAAAAATTTCCCTCCCCTCTCCGCTCCAACACTTAGTGAAATTTTTTTTGGCAAAAGCCAGATTGCGCGACGAACATATGAACATTCGTCGCGCAAAATCAATAAAAAAATTTCCCTCCCCTCTCCGCTCCAACACTTAGTGAAATTTTTTTTGGCAAAAGCCAGATTGCGCGACGAATACATGCCCATTCGTCGCGCAAAATCAATAAAAAAATTTCCCTCCCCTCTCCGCTCCAACACTTAGTGAATTTTTTTTTGGCAAAAGCCAGTTTGCGCGACGAATACATGCCCATTCGTCGCGCAAAATCAATAAAAAAATTTCCCTCCCCTCTCCGCTCCAACACTTAGTGAAATTTTTTTTGGCAGAAGCCAGTTGCGCGACGAATACATGTCCAGTCGTTGCGCAAAATTTTTTGGCAACACCTAGAATGCGCGACGAATACTCTTTCGTCGCGCAATCTCATTGCATTGATTTTTTCCCGCGCAAAATCAAATCCCAAAATTTTGGGCGGCTGGACAAGTATGCGCGACGACATTAGTTCTTTCGTCGCGCAAGGTATATCTGTTCACAACTTTGCGCGACGAAATCAAGTTTTTAAGTCGCGCAAAGGTCAAATTTTATAATATTGCGCGACGAAATGTTGATTTTTGCGTCGCGCAAAGTTATTAAAATGAACTTTGCGCGACGGATTTATATATTCGTCGCGCAAAGTCGAATAAGTTTTCTGAAAATCGCGATCTTCTCCTTCTTCCCCAATTTCTCAAACGGAACCCTAAACCTCCATTTCTCTCCGCCGTGACCTCAGCCCCTACTCCGCCCCAATTCAGACCCTGCCGCCACCACCGTCGAACCCAGGAGCTTCTCCGCCGTCGCCGTCCATCCTGCCGCCGTGAATTGCTCCGTTTAGGCCGAATCTTCGCCGCCGTTGTTCTCTCTCCTCCGGGCACCAAATCCGGCAATTGAGGTATGCTTTCTGGGCTATTTTTCATGCTCTAGCTGATGGTTGTGTAGGATTTGATTGATTGTGTGCATAGGGTAGTCAATTTGAAACCCTAGGTTTCGGCCGGTTTTGAAATTGAAATTCCGGCCACTTCCGTCCGTTTTTCGGGGTAGGTCCGAGAACAAAAGTGCCTCCAATTGATGTTTTAAACCTAGGGTAGGAACCTTGCCCCTTAATTTGTAGGATTTCCCGGGGATTGTTATCGCTTAGGGCACCCACGCGTTGCCGGCGCGTGTGGTGGGGCGTGGGGTACTGTGGCATAGGGCATTTTGTCCCAGTGCAAACATTTCGTTGTCACGAGCGCGTAGGTGTGCTCGGATTGGAATTTGGTTATCGTTTGAGTCTCGAACGGTTCGAACCTATTGTGCGATTTTAGGGTTTGATATGTTCGGACCGTTGGATCGAGCTGAAACTCACGTATGTGGTACCATGTATTTATAGGATCGTTTAGGATTCGACGGATCGTGGATCGGAGTCCCCCATACTCCGAAATCGCAAACCCTAGGTCAAACTATGATTTTAATTAGTTAGTTCAATTTTTTACTGACATTGTATGTGCTACATTGGATTAATGAAATTGTGCAGATGTCAGACTTGATTAGACGTCGTAGGGCGGTGACGGCTACACCAAGTTCGGAGCCCCCGGCTCAGCCGGTATCAGCTGCCACTGCTCCAGCACTGATGGAGCAGGACCACGTGCTAGCTGGTCCTGGGGGATCCCAGGCGGTTGCATCATCATCTTCTTCGGTGGTGCAGCCTCTTAGCGCTAGGCGGCGACACCGGCCCGCTACCACCACCGACACCACATCCACTGACTGTACTGGTGCCTCGGGGGCACCTCCAGGTAATACCCTTCCCCTTTCATTTTTTTTTAAAAACATTTTTTTAATTGGGAATTTTATGGTTCAATTTGATTGTATATGTAACAATATTGTCATATCCCTTTGCAGCCAAGAGGAACACCCGAGGGCCGTGTCGGCAGCTGAAGACGGCGAAGGTCACCCGGGTGACCAACAGTCGTATCAGCATCGGATATGACGAGCGCCATCGGGCTGCACCGACGGCGGACTTGCATAGCTCCTTGGCCCACGACATTGGCCACGTCGTTCGGACCCATTGCCCGATGCAATGGAAGTCTTGGAAGGTCATACCTGACGAGATCAAGATGCAAGTTCGCGGCCAGTTGTCGGTATTTTTCCTATCTTTTAATTATTTTTCTTTCAAACTTTATATATTTCTATTACTTAATGTATGTAATCAATTTATTGCAGACGAACTACGACTTAGAGGACATCAACGAGGAGACTTTGGCGTACGTCAACAGACTCTTCGGTGAGAGGTACAAGCAGTGGAAGAGCGACTTGCACCACCATTTCCAGGCGTTTGATGATCCGCAAGTCGCTCTTCAGGAGGGTTGCCCGAAGGAGCTTGAGGGGCGGGAGGATAGTTGGGCGTGGCTCTGCGCTCATTTTCAGGCGCCCGATTATGTGGTATTTTTTTAATAATATTTGTTTAATGTTTATTTTATTTTTTATATCTCATTATTATTTAATTTATTTATAGTTCAATTATTACGTTTTATTTTTTGTATAACAGAATAAAGCCCAAGTGAATAAAGGCAATAGGAAGAAGAAGACTCTTCTTCACCATTCCGGCTCCAGGCCCTTCTCATATAGGATGGATGCACGGCGTCGGGTAAGAATAATATAATTTATATTTAATTTTTAATACGTCATTATTATTAATTTCTTTTGTTCATACTAATATTTTCTTCTCTTGTTCAATTAAGGGGGGGTTGAAATTCCCAGAGATCGACGTCTTTGGTGACGTTTATGTTCGACCTGGGAATGAGTTGGCCGAGTCCCTTCATGTAAGTATTATGTATTTTTAATTCTTATGTTACACTTTCAATTTATATGCATTTTTGAATTTATATTTTATGTAATGTTAAACAGACGACGATGGTGGAGAGGAGCCAGTTGGTTCTTCAAGAGTCCGCCTCCCAACTTCCTCCCGAGACTCCGATCGAGTCTGTGGATCCTCCGCATGATGCTGGATTTCAGATTTTGACGCAGACGTTGGATCAGACTCTCGGGAGGAGGCCGGGAACGTATTGTAGGGGGATGGGGAATGCCCGACAGAGGGAACCTCGACCGCGGTCATCGTCGCAGGCAAACAGTCAGGTGACTGTTTTGACATCGCGGGTTGCCGAGCTTGAGGGTCAGATGTCGGTGATTCTGCAGTCCCTCGCGCGGTCGGGCATTCCAATCCCGAATTTTGGTGCGTCGACCTCCGAGCCCGTCCACCCCGAGCATCCCCAGCACACCACGGCCCCTGCAGACTCCCATACCTCCGAGCCGCATGTGGCAGATGACCAAGTAGATTTCGGAACATTATTTGATTAGTTTTTTATTTTTATAATTACTTTTACAATTTGTATACATTTATTTTATTTTATATAATAGATGTTTTCTTTACGATTAATTTTTTTAATTGTAATTTCATTTTAATTAAAAAAAAACCAAATTTATTTTTTTACAAAATTAAAAATCAAATAATAATAATTTTTTTAAAATAATATATATTGCTTTTGCGCGACGAAACGTAAATCGTCGCGCAAAAACATTTAAATAACAAATCGACAAATATATTTTAATCTTGCGCGACGAGTAATTTCGTTGCGCAAAATGTGTATGCGCGACGAATAAGATATCGTCGCGCAAGGTTCATGTAGCTCGCGCGACGGAAAATTCCGTCGCGCAGTTTTTTTTGCGACGACCACTGTTTCGTCGCGCAAATATTTGTGCGACGGACAATGAGGTCGTCCCGAAATGTTTTTTGAAACGAAGTTGTTATACGTAGCGCAAACTGCGCGACGAATGACATTTGTTCGTCGCGCAAATCCTTTCTTCACGAACTTTGCGCGACGGACTGTGCGCGACGAAACTTCTGTCGCGCATAATGATGTGCGACTAAAATCATTTTTGCGCGACGAATACCCTTTCGTCGCGCAAAGACTAAAATGTAGTAGTGGAAAGACAGACATGAATACAATAGTTTTATTAAAACTTTCCTAGAAAAACCACTTGGAACAAACTCTAGGATAAGAAAAAATACCACACATGCCAACAACTAAAAAGAGAGTTCGACCCAGACCACAAAAGACTATTTCAAGAATAGAAAAACTCAAAGAACTTAAGTTTTGTATAAATAAATAAAAAGGACTTAAATAGTTAAATTTGGAAATTGAAGTTTGCTTAAGATTTCAATTAAGGGCAATTCTTTAAATCAACAAAAGGAATTTGATGTTTTCACATGATAAACACGTGGTAGAGGGGTAAATTAACATTTTGGAGCTGAGCAGGTACAACTTCCTTCGATTCTCACCTCAAAAATCACCAACTTGTGGATCCCCAATTTTACCAATACAATTCCCCAAACAGCCTTCCGGAGAAATGCAATGTTGGAATCAGACAAAGGAAAAACTAAGATGCAATGGAATATTATTGATGAATAGCAATATGCCAAGTCGCCCACAATCTAAAGAAGAGAGTTCCGCGTGCCCACGGAGAAGCCTTTCATTCACTCCACAAAACTCATACCCCACTTCTACTCTCTCTCTCTCTCTCTCTCTCTCTCTCTCCAACGAATATTCCTAAAACTAAATCCTGTGTGCGAGCCTATATCCAACGGCTGTGACTTTTCATCCAATCCAAACCACATGAAGGGCAAGCCCCTCTTTCTCTCTCTCTCTCTTCTATATAACCCAAAAAGCATAATTGCCAGCTCTCCTCATCATCCTTGAACAAACTCAAGAGTCAAGACCAAGCAAGAATTTCAAGTTTTCAAGTAGTTCAAGTATGTCTGCAGTGGTGGAGGTTTGGATGAGCGAGTTTGCAAAGCTGAAAGACAAGGTAGGAGCTAAGAAACGAATGGTGTTTTCATCAAAGGGCAAACAAGGAGAGGGTGATGATGAGGTTGAGGAACAACAAGTGTTGAAAGAAGCAAGAAAAGAGAGCAGCAGAATGGCTCAGATTCAGAGGGACTTGGATTCCTCTACGCTTTCAGAGGCCACAGTCTGTTTGCTTATGGACCGTTTTGTGCCTTGGTGACACCTTGTAAACATGTTTAAATATTAGTCTAATCTTGCATATATATATAAATGTAATATTAATTTGATGTGTATTTGTTTTTTGTTTTTCCATTTGAATCATATTTTTGCAAGCTATTAGCTGATGAATTGATGGTTTAATTATTGCAACCAAGCTTTCCCTTAACAGGACAAACCATTAAACCATAAACTATTTTTAACAAACGAACAAACAAAAACAAAATATATCAAGTTGTTTTGTGACAAAATGGCTAGCTAGCTTTGCTGTGGTTTTGGAAGTTGTTGTGGTGAGACAAGAAAATAAACACACACGACCAATGTTGAACTGAAAACTATTTTTAATGCAGAATTGTTTCTAGACACAAAGGGTTTGCATTCAAATTTTTATGTAACTGCAAGGTGTTTAACGACGCATGTACTAGTTAATACTGGTCTAATTGCCGACTGGATTTGAAGTTTGAAATGTAAAATGAAAAAAGTTACAATTGTAAGTGGTGGTTGTATCTTAGGAGACAAGCACGACCATGAGCAATGTAGTGGGGCGTAAACTGTCTTAAGGATAGAGTACCAAGTACTTTCCTCGACCAATTTTGCATGAATAGTAACAGCCCTTGCTCTTTGTCATGACAATTGGGTGAGAGTGCTGTTACTAGTGTGTTATTATTACTACGTTTATTTTTGGTTAAACTGTCCCTCTGGTCTAGAGAGACCCAGCAGGGGTAGGAGCTCTTGGGGCCCAGAAAGACCATGATTTTTCACTCACATGTTTCTTCTTGCCACTGACATTGCCAACCAGAAACTCTTGGACAATAAATCACCATAATTTCCAATCCTTTCAGCCTGTTCAATTTTGAACAATATGGATCTAGGCACCACTAAATTATTAGGAGCTCCTTCCCCTTCTTCTTCTTCTTCTTTCACCAATTCATGGACACACGATGTGTTTCTCGGCTTTAGAGGTGAGGACACACGCTACAATTTCACAGACCATCTACACAAAAATTTGGTCCAGAGGGGCATTAGAACCTTCATAGATGATGAGCTCCCAAGAAGAGAAGAAATATCACATGCACTTCTTGATGCAATTGAAGGATCGAGGTGTTCCATCATCGTATTCTCTGAAAACTATGCATCCTCGAAGTGGTACTTGGATGAACTTGTTCATATCATTCAGTGTAGAAAATCAAAGCAACAGATGGTTTGGCCAGTTTTCTACAAAGTGGATCCCTCAGATGTAAGGAACCAAAGAGGTAGTTATGGCGAGGCACTGAATAACCATGAACGCAAATTCAAAGAGCAGAAACTTACTAATCATGATGAAAGTAAATTCGAGGACAATATGAAGAAGGTGCTGAGATGGAAGGAAACCCTTATGCTCCATTTGGATGAAGGAATTGCAAATTACATAGAATTTTAAAATGATGGAATTTAGATTTCCGTCATTTCAATTTCTGGCAATTGAAGATTTCAGTGTTTGGATTTATATATGTCGAATTTTGTAAATTACAGAAATTGAAAATTTCAATGTTTGGATAGCTCATGTAAATTATAAATGAAAGAAATGAAATATTTCGAAAGAACAAAAAAACTAATAATCGACGTAGAAGGTATTCCTCGAAGTATGAAATAACATATTGTTTGATGAACTAAATAACTCAACTTAAACAAAGAAAGCATATTAGCAAACCAAATCACTCCCCACGTGCAATGAACATCAGTAACATACTTTTTTTTCTTTTTCTCAATTGGGAGTGCCTATGGAATTAGAACTAGAAGCAATCAGCAATCAAGACCCTAATACTTCTTTTTCACTTGGCAAAAGACCAATGACCAGAGAAACTGAAAGGGCTTTGATTAAAAAGTTGCAAACAAAAGTATAGGAATAAATGATGAAATCAATGAATCACTATCATAAGACTTAATTCAAGTCCCAAAGAATGAAGGAGCACCTTGCCCAAGCTGCAGCTTACGGGCAAGTTGGTGTAGCTTACAATCAACATCTAATGGTTCACACAAAGCGATAAAGCTAACAAACAACTATAGAGAAAGGCGATAACACAAAGTGATAAAGCTAGCAAACAACTACAGAGCTGTACCATAAACATCAATCACACACCAATATCCATGGGCATAGAGTATTTTGTTAAAACTTCCCAAAAATCGAGCCATAGTGCCGCAAAGATCACAAAACCCAACACATTCATAAATTTAGTCAGAAACACCCAATTTTGATAGCCATTTAGAAACCATGGTAACCCTAAAGTAAAAAAAATATAAATTGAAGGAGAGAAAGGCTTGAAGATTAACCTTCAAACTTGATCCAAAGAGCCACGTAACCCAAAGAACTCCTTCTCCTTACTTCTCTAGCTATACTCGGTTTCATAGGTTTTTGGTACTGTTTTTATTTTTATTTTTAATGAAAAGTTTGGTGGGTTTTTTTTTATGTAAGTTTTGGCACACTGGAAAATATGAATTCCCACACTACGGAAATTGTGAAATGACGCCTATTTTGGTGGAAATTAAACTCGGGAATTTGATGCCTCAATTTCCATGATTTTTTCCACGCATCATTTAGTAAGTTCAGCGTTTAAGTTGCCAAACAAGGGAATTGTCAATTTCTCTTCTTCAATTCCCGACTTTTACCTAAATTCCGAGTTATTTTCCCTCATCCAAACGGAGGGTTACGGAAGCTGCAAATTTGTCTGGGTCGCATTACTTGGAGGGGTATGTTTTTTATTTTATTTTATTTTAATTTTATAATTTTTTTATATTATAAATATATAATTTTTTTCTTTTCTAAAATGCGGTATATTTCTATCTTTAATATACATTTAGGATCCGGAGGCCCTGCTTTAATTTCAATTTATTTATCCCAGGGTTGCAGAATCTGTTATTGTAACTGTTAAAATGTGATGGACATTTGGTAGAAATCTCTAGGGTAATAATTTAGAATCCCAAAGTGCTACAATAGCTATCAGATATCTAAGATAATTGTAGTAGTGTCACACCCCAATTATTTTTTTATATTTGGAGTGTGAGGTAAAAGAAAAATTAAAACTAAAAAAATGAAATATCAAGAAACATGAAGATTGAACATAAACTTCTATTTAAACCAAAGTAATTTACATTGTAATTTTACAAGCAAAATAACAAGAAAGTAACAAACTTTCAACAAAACATTCAAAACTATCCACAACTCGTTCTTCTTGTTTCCTCGTCACAAACTAAACTTTAGATTCAAAACCTGCAATAGATTCAATAAGGGGTGAGCACTACATGCTCAGTAGAGGTCCTATGTTTTATGTGATTAGTGAGATTTATAATGTACAATTTATGCATTGCATGAATGAACTTCAATTTTTCCCAACCTGTTAATCTATATAATAGGGCAAGCAAATCTGCATGTACTATACCATGCATTTTACCACTATGATTTTGAATGCCCCATTATATAAACTAACACCCATCTCAGTTATCCCATAATTCTCCTTTTGCATGTCATCTTGTCTACACCAATGATCTCCAAGCTCAAATCACCCAATCGACATTTATACCACCGATTTCCTAATCTACGGTGCACACGGGCTCACCTGAACTTGGTCCCTACGACGGTAATTTTAACTTCACGACATATATCTTGGATCTCAGAAAGACCTATTCTGTCGGCGGTTTTCTATATAAACCGTCGTGGTTATTCTCAATTCTTGTCATTAAGTTGGTCTACCGTCATAGGATACCAAAATCCAAGAAATAAATAGTAAAAAATAATGTAATTAAGACGACCATTTAGGTATAAGGGTAGACGTATAAAGAGAATAAATACGACGGTAATTTTAACTTCACGACGTAGTAAATTTTATTACACGGCGTTAATTGAACAAACAAACGTGGTTAGAGTTAAAGATACCGTCATAGTATGGAACATGAAATAAGTTGATAAAATTATATTTTACGTCGTTGTACATGTATTTAAGACGGTGGTATTTTTTAATATACTGCCGTGGATTCTTTTGAAATTATGTGACGCCGAATACGAAAACTTGGTCGTGGTTATTTCGGAGAAAAGACGGCTGCTGTTTCTTTAAATCGTCGTCTTTACTTTCTACGTCGGTGGATTCATACCTTCTGCTGTTGTTTGTTGGCTCCAAGTTTACTATGTAGAAAACCTTTTTCAATAAGACGTCGCTTTTTAAAATAGGTGTGTCGTGTTTTGAAAACAACCATTGGATTCCCCATTTTTTAGGTGTTTAAGTTATTCTTACACGGCGGTTTTATAAAACCGTCGTCTTTTAAAAAACAACGGTTTTCCGTTAAATCGTCGTTTTTTTCTGGTCGTCTTTTTCACTTTTTGTAGTAGTGTTTACCTCAAATCCAAAGCTATTGTATAACTCCCAGTTGCAAGTCCAAACACTTTGAGCTTCTCCAAAATCTCACCACTCTTAGTTCTCACTCTCTCTTTTTGTCTTTTGTCTATGATTTTTAGGAAACTAACACAACTTGAAGAACCTATGATACAAGAACTATTAGGTAGTGCTATTTATAACAAGCTAGAGTCGGCAAAGATTTAGATGAAAGCTTAATATTGTGCCACTTAACTAGCCTATAGGTTGCTAGACTACTTGGGTGGCTTGAAAGTAATTTATCACCCCAAATAGCCTTATGTGTTGGCTTTGTAGAGTGCTTAGTGAGCACTCTCCAATTAAGTTTATATATATAGGGATACCTACTGTTCTTACACCTCATGCCATATCCCACCTCATGCTTTAATTGGTTTTGAGGACACCATATTGCAACACGTCAATCTTTAACAGAAAGCTTAGTAAGCAAACAAAAAATCTTTCTAAATGCTTTTGTAAAGTGTGTATAAAATAAATATTAAATAAGGCTGAAATGAATTGATATGGTTAAAGCCATGCAATAAGATTTGATAGGCTATACTAGTTAATGTTTAGATTCATGTAACTTGCCATACAACTAATATATATATATATATATATATATATATGTATGTATACAGAGAGCTTCCATTGAGGGATCCCTCAAATAAGCTTATTTGAGGGACACCCCTTGTAGGGCCCACTCCGGATTGTATTTCACTAATCCAAACCGTCTATTTTATAGATACACATTCAAAGATCATCTATACAAAAAATAACTTGAATCCGATATCATTTGACCATTCAATTGAGTTATTGAAATTTTAGTACTTTCTTGAAGCACCGTGTTCATTGATTTTGTAAGACATAATTGGATGTCAAAACGGTTTCCGATTTGTCTAATTTTTTGTAAGGATGATCTATGAATGAAAACCTAAAAAATAGATGGTTTGGATCATTGGAAAAAAAATTGTAGGGTACCCTAAAGGGCGTCCCTCAAATAAAATTATTTGAGGGATCCCTCAATAGAAGGGGACTGTATATATATATATATATATATCATCAATTATATAGTTTTGAAAACCAATAATTATAAATAAATAATTTTACAATATATTAATATACATATTTAAAAATATGGGGTTTCACAAGTAGAATCTAGAAGAGGGTAGCTACTGGACCAAATGACCAAGTCGGTGAACTATGCCGGCTAAACAAATAGCAACAAACATATAAGAGCATCCACAGTGGGGGGGTGTATATGGGGAGTGTATGTTAAATATACACCCCGAGTCACTGGAATCGTCTCTAATTGAGAGATGTAAATGGATATAAATATATATCACCACCATGGGGATGTAAAATAAAATGTATATTTACATCTATTTTTACATCTCTTGCAAGCGAGACCCACCTGAGAAAAAAGAAGAAAAATGAAGAAAAGTCAATATAAAAGGCTAGGACCCACGGCTACACCCCTGAATTTACACCCCCAGCAAAAAACGTATTTAAACCCTCCGGAGGTGTAAATGGGATGTAAAAGTGGCTTTACACCCCCCCACTGTGGATGCTCTAAGGAGTTTTGTAAAATGCTCTAGTCTAGAGCAAGCTGCAGCTTATGTGGCTGATAATATTTGATAAAGCCAAGTCGTAGACATGACGGTTGGTCAAGTCGGCAGTCTTGCCGGAAAACTTGCAAATGAATAGGATTGAAGTGTTGTAATGTGTATTGTAACTAAGAAATCTACTAGAAAGCCAAACACTAGTCTTATATCTAAGCCTCACACAATCTAATAGAAACAAAGTAATATAGAAACTGAGGAGATTACAAGGCTTCATGTAATATGCCTGTGTAATACTATAGTTCTACCATTTTCTGGTATTTTGAATGTTTCATCATTCTCTGCCTTTTGCTTTATATATATAGATTCACGACATAATTTACACTAGTATCGAGTCCAGCACTTCTTTAAAACATATATAGAAAAATCCCATTTTATTTAAATGTTGTTTGTGCTTGAAATTGGCAGCCGTGAAACTG